AATTGTAGTAGCGAACGTTCATTCTCCAGACTAAAGCTAATAAAAAATGAGTTAAAGAAATAGTATAACTCAAGAAAGATTGAGTCATTTGTTAATTATGAGCATTGAATATGATGTCTTACAGGAAATTGATTTTGATGATGTGATAGAAAACTTCACCTCTTCGAAAAGCGCAAAAAGTATTGTTACCTTAAATTTTCTATAAAAATAATGTATATAAGCTTTTATAATTAATTTATATGTTTTTTACTCTTAAAATAATTTTTAAAAATTATTTAAAAAAAAATTTTTTCCCTCTAAATTTACTCATAAAGGGCCCCAAAATAATAACAGGCCCGGAAGCCTCTGTAAACATAAAAACTGCTCTGATTAAATGTAATGATATAATATGAAAGATCTATTTAAACTTTATATTCTATACTTTTCTGAATCATATTACTTCAAACATTAAAATATACAAAAAGTATACAGAAACAAATAATGTTAAAACATTTAATTTTGTAAAAAATGTTTTTTGATAAAAATTTAATGTCTCAATATAAAAGTTATTATTTATAAACTGAAAAACCTTAAAAAAAGAATGCTTACGATTAAAAAAAAATTTAAAAAATTATTTTAAAAATTCCTTATATTGAAATAAAAAAATTTCATATTGTCTTTTTTTTCTTTCTTTAATTCTTTTTATAGTCTTTCTTTAATTCTTTTTATAGTCTTTCTTTAATTCTTTTTTTAGTTCTCAATCAGACGTCGAAAATCATTCTGTAGAGAATTATCGTCAAATTAGACAAAACTTATTTGCAAGTAAATTTTCTATTATTATATAAATTATTACACTTCCCAGAAAGTGTGTAACCTTACGGCAACCTTGGGTCTTAATTTTCTTTTTACTGTCATGAAAATGTTTTCAATAAAAAACTTTTTTCAATGAAAAAAAATATTGCAATTTCAAACCTTTCATATAAAAAGGATTTTTTAAGCATTTTAAAAACCTATAACCATTTATGTTAAAAAAATAAAGGATTTTTTAAGCATTTTAAAAACCTATAACCATTTATGTTAAAAAATAAGCTAATGGTGAACCTTGCTTTTGTATTTTTGTTAGTTGTCATGATAAGGTAAAAAAAAAACCTTCGTATGTTAATAAAAAGGTTTTTACAAGGTTACTCAAAAGTTGTTTTCACAAGGATTTTTCGAAATCAGTAAACTGATAAATGATTAGTATTAAAATTTCATTGTACGAATTTAGATATTTAAAAACCATATTTTATCGTTTAATGTACTGAATTCGAAGAGATCGCTAAAAAATTAAAACTGTAATATGCTCAGCCATCCCAAAGCCGAAGTCCAGGAAATAGACCTGTAGTGATTATGCTTTTTAAAAAAAGGCCGGGATAGCCTGGTTAATAGGACGTTGGGCCTATGCTCAAAAGGACGTGAGTTCGATCCATGTCGACCAAAACTCCCAGTGTAGTAAATGATTACTGGTGCATGTTAAATCCATCGGGTCACAAAGTCCTCCATGTTCCCACAGCAAATCAATACCTAAATTAGAGATTGATCGTTCTCTGGTATAGGTTATAATTGCGATCTGTGAATGTATGAATGGATCCGTCCTATAAACGGGCAGAGACGTGTGTGCGACTAAAGTCGTATTCTTGGCCATGTATGGCGCTACTGAAAAACAAGAAACGCAACCTCTGCCTTAAATTCGCTTTTTTCACCAAGCGGACTTGCTGGCATTGGCATTAGAAACAATAACAACAACAATATTTAAAAAAAAGTAAACAAAAGTAAATAAAAAAATGCCTCGTTTAGCTGTTAAATTTCGGTTGAGAAATAAAAAGAAAGACTTTTTGCTGTGCTTTTTAACTTAAAGACGCACTTTGAGTTGCTTACATTTTCTTAAACACGAATTTTGAGTTGCGTCCATTTTCTTAAGCATACATTTTGTGCCGCGTTCGAATAAAAAGCTCAACGATGTTTTTTTTTTGTTTTGTTTTGTTTTCTTGTCGCTAATGCTGCATGTTGCTTGGCCCGATTCTATCACAGGTTTCAGTTTAAATTCATTTTTTTAACAAGCACTGCTACGCGTTATTTATTCTTATTTTGTTTCAGTTAAACAACAAAAGTTTATAATTACTCTCCTCTTTGATTGTTTAGTAGCTTTAAATAGGCAAGAATGGAGCCCTTAAGGCAAAAATAACAAATCTTGAAAGATAGAAGAACTAAATGCAGCATTAAAAAGCTGAACTGTAAAGTTTGAATATCACGGTCATGGACTAGAGAGTTTACAGGTAAGATTTTGGTTCTTTCATAATAACTTAAAGAATTCTAGTATTATTTGTAGTTGTTGTTGTAGTTCATTTACGTCGCACTACAGCTGCACAATGGGCTATTGGTGAAGGTCTGGGAAACATCCCTGAGGATGATCCGAAGACATGCTATCACAATTTTGATCTTCTGCAGAAGGGATGGCACCCCCGCTTCTGTAGTCGGACGACCTGCAAGCGAAGTCGAACACTTTACGGTAGAACAGTTTAACGAGGACCAATACCGCACACCCTCGGTCCCTACGCAGATTGATCCTCTAGTATTATTTATAAGTATTAGTTTAAATGAAATAACTATTTCTGTTTGGTACAAAATAATGCTTATAGTATCAGTAGCTTAGTTGGGTGAGAGGTCAAAATGTTGTCCCCTTTACTTTTGATTTTATTTTTTGTGTCTTTCAAAATATATCTGGAATGAATTAAACAAATCAAAACAGTTTTGGCTTAATTATAAAATTTGCTTGTTGAAAAACAATTCCACGCAGTACAGGGATTCCTTAACTTCTTTTTCTAACGTATATATTTCACTTGTATTTTTGATTTCTTGATGGCCGGAGGTGTTCTGTGGTGACCGACCCTGCAGTTACAGCCTCCTGGCTATTTTTACTATTTTAGTATTTCATATGTGCATTAAAATGTGAAGATAAATTTTTATTTTGAAGGATGTCCATACTTGCAAAAATTAAATTTTTTTATTTATCATAATTGATTCGTCACTGAATTAGTTTGTCTTCATCACTCTAGAGAATAGAATAATTGGACAAATGGATAATAACAATGATTCATCAATATATTTCTTCAAGCACTGTTTCCCACGAACAACCAATTCTTTTTCAACTAATGTTAATCATCATCTTCAGGATAAATATTTGCTTGAAACCAGTGCCATTTGATCAATTTTTATAGTCCTCTCTCTTTTGTTCAAAACTTGAACTAACAACTTTGACATCGGTACTCGAACCCACTCTTCTTTAGTCGGTGCATGAAACCAGTGTCATTTGATCTAATAATGCTTACATCCAACTTACTTCAAGAAACTACCATGGTGCTTACTATAAAGCTTTGTCAAATCTTTGGGTCTTCGGATCATCCTCAGGAATGTTTCCCAGACCGTCGCCAACAGCCCATTGTGCAGCTCTAGTGCAACGTAAATTAACTACAACAACAAATCTTTGGTAATTTAAATAATAAAAATTAATAATTATTTCTAAAAAAATAATTTGCCCGGAAAAATCATTCAAAAATCTAATTTTAAAGTTGTGAACAGAAATTTTTTTATTAAAAAAAGATCAAGAAGTAAAATTGGTTAAAGAGGCATCATTGCTCAACATTTACGGCTCTCCTATCAAAACTAAAAGGATCATATTTTCTAAATCAGTGTTCTCCAACCTTTTTATCACCGTGGACCTGTCAACGCTTGATAATTTTACCGCGGCCCACTGGGGGGGGCGTTATGTTTATATTTCAGATTATTTTAATTTATTAATTTTAATTTAATTGTATTTAAGCATGCCTACAAAATAAAATACAACATAAAGAGATTTAGCATTTTAACTTACTAGAACATTAAATGAATGAGAACCCTGAGCTTGTTTCTCTGGGGAAATCTGGGGGTAATCGGATACAATGATACGTTACAAAAATTAAAAAAAAAAATTATGTCAATACCTTCGGTGCCCCCTTTTCTTAAATAAATAAAATTTTAATGGAACACAGATTTTTTTTAATTTAGGGTATAAACCTAGGAATTTAAATTCAGTTTCAATGAAGTAGGCGGCCGGTACCATTTGATCTACGGACCGGTACCGGTTGGGGAACACTGTTCTAGATGAGTGTTACCCCAGAACTATTTTGAGGGTAAATCATTTTCAAAAAAGATATGTTTATTTAAAAAAACTACGTTTTTGAGTCTGGTTTAATACTTAAAATCCCCTAAACAGAAACAAATAAATACATTTACCCCTTAAAAAATGAGATTGCGTCATAATACAAAAAACGTTCAAATATTTGGTCATAAGTCACTGAATGCGACGAATAATTTAAAGAATATAATTTAAATTAAAGAATATAATTAAAGAATAATTAAAGAATACAATTTAAGGAATAAATAATTTAAAAAATATAATTTAAAGATCCCAGTTATAATAAGCTCCCTTAGGACAAAAGTCCCGCAGTGGACTGATCGTTAAGACACGGTTCCCAGCAGATCACCGAAGTCAAGCATCACTGGCTACGGTCAGTGTGCGGGTGAGTGACCACCTGGATCAGTCTGCGTAGGGACCGAGGGTGTGCGGTATTGGTCCTCGTTAAACTGTGCTACCGTAAAGTGCTCGACTTCGAGCGCAGGTCGTCGGGCTATTGAAGCGGGGGTGCCATCCCCTCCGCAGAGGATCAAAATTGTGATGGCATGTCTTCGGATCATCCTCAGGGATGTTTCCCAGACCGTCGCCAATAGCCCATTGTGCAGCTCTAGTGCCACGTAAATTAACAACAACAACATAAATAATAATAACAAGAAACATTAATAAATAAAAACAAGAAAACATTTATAGATAAAAGGAAGAAACATTAATTCGACCAATAGCGTGATCCGGTCGAAGAGAGGATTAATCGCTCGTATCCAGTCCAGTCATCCATAAGTGACAAGGCAGGTCCATTGGTCTAGACAGTGAGTAAAAATAATATCCTTTCAAATGAAAACTTCCGTTTTTCTTTACATGTGCTATGCTGTTGGATATTTGAAAAACTTTAAGAGTCTTATGTTTGCAGTTATTTCAAATTCAGTAATCAATTTTTTTTGATTTTAAGGGATGATTAATGTTGTAAAAGTGAATAAATATTATAAACTATTGTACTTTTTTAGTGTAAAAAAACTATGTTTACTTAATGTAATAATCAATCTGTTAATAAATATTATCCCTTCAGTAGACGGTAAGATAATTCAGAAATATTTTATCTATGTCTTTTCAGATAAGTTTATTGGTAATTAAATCTGTATTGAATGTACTTTATACTGCTCATGCATTAAAAATGAGTCATTTGCGATGTAGAGATTATTTATTATGATTTTTAATATCAAATAAAACTATGTTTATTTTTCCTTATCTCTATCTATTGATCGATTACTATTTTCTATTTTGCACTCTTTATTCTGCTGATTTTTAGGCTGATTTATTATGCCAAAAGTGAAAAGAAATGTAGAATTTTTTTTTATGCATTTAATTGTACCTATCCATACCTGCCTGTTAAAAAAATTGATTTGCACCTTTTTTCTTACTTATAATTTTTTTTCTTATTTCTCAAAAAGGAAGATTAATTTTGTTTAAAACAGATTTTATTTGTTTAAATTATTTAACTAATTATTCTAAGACTATAAATTATTCTCTTAGTGCACTATGCTTCCAACTTACTTTAGCATGTGTTTTTATAAATTTAGTGTAGATAAAGGGTAGAGCACGTTATGACACTTATTAATTATTGATTCTTAGAATTTTTACTGTGCTCAAAATAATAATAATATGGTTTAGATGGGGATATTTCTGTATTGGCACTAGGATACTGTATTCTAGGATTTCTGTATTGGCACTATCAGCATTTTGATATTATGGTATATTGTCTGCTTCATATCACGATATTATGATATACCGTGGTAATTAAATTGTTATGTATATTATAAATGCTAGACTTTTTTGCAAATAAAAATTTATGTGTTTAAAGAACATCATTTAAAAAGAATGGGATATTTATCCTACGGTAGCTCGCAGGATAAGTATCCCATAGATGAAGTATCGTTATTTTGAAACAGAAAAATTTTATTAACACAATTGTAAACATCACAACACTATTTCTCATGATTTTGCAACACAATTAAACATATTTGGAATTTTTACTTAGAAAGATCTGCATCTCAGCTTTTCAGGCAATAAAGATGCACAATCTTTAGTAATGACATTACCTGCAACACTGAACACACTTTCAGATGGTAGACTTGTCCCTGGTATTGCAAGGAATCGACTCGCAATTAACTGTAATTTTGGAAAGGAGGAGCTGTTTCTTTTCCACCACATAAATGGCCAATCCGAAATGCTTATTTTTGACATATTTAAATACTCATTCAGCTCCCTTTCAGCTTTTGCTATTGGAGTATATTCCTCAGCATTCAAGTTCTCTTCTTCATCTGAGTCAAAAAACTTAACAAGGCAGGCCTTTTTTTTATGTTTGAGTTCTTAATGAAGAAGAAGCACTTATTTATGGTTCATCTTGCATTGTATAGGACTCAGCCATAAGTTAAATTGCTCTACTTTTAACTGCAGAAACATTTTCTAGAAATTTAATTTTGAATCTTGGGTCACACAATGAACAAAGACCCAAAATCAATGCCATTAATGAATCTTCATATTTGGCTTCAAGAGCCCCCAGAATTTCTTTTTTTTTATACTCCTGCTAATTTCTGAGTCACTGTCATTAGCTTGAAGATTTTTTTTACTTTACTCAACAGTGGTAGAACGCAGGAAGCTGTGATGTAACTACTTCCATTTAAAGATTTTGTCATATCTTCAGGCATATTTGTGACAGTTACAAAATCTTGAAGCACATTGATGTCAGATCCTTCAAGCATTAAATGTTTTCTCGGATAATCAAACAAAACTTTGCAGAGAGGAAGCTGGTTGGACAAAAATCGCCTGCAAAGTTTTGTTGTACTCCATCAATGTGTTGGACATACACTTATTAAGCGTTCAACAGTCATACTCAATTGCTCTTGAGCTATCTGTCAATCTCTTTTCATCTTCCATGAATGAGAAATGGTGTTTTATAGCTTTTTCAAGCGAGAAATTGCTGTCTTCAGGGAAGACTGTTGTAGAGATTGGTTGACACCAATGTTTATATTATGGGCAAAACATGTAATCTGGTTTATCTTAAGATCTTTGATAGCTTTAACAATGTTAGTGCCATCATTAGATGTTATTGAGGGCAATGTTTTAGCATAAATATTCCAATCTTTTTAAGTATTAGTTAGCATTTCAATTAAATTTTCTGATGTATGCTCCTCTATGAAATGCTTGAAGTTCGAACACGCACTTAGAAGCTGCCATTCATTAGAAATTTAATGAGCAGTCACTGCTAGAAAAGGAGTATTGGTTATGGATGTCCAACAGTCAGTAGTGATTGCTATATCACAACTCTGTATGGAAGATATTTCAGCCTTTATCTTTCAACCGTATTGTTATTTAATTTTGAGATAGCTACAGTTGAAAAGTGTTTTCTTCCAGGCAACTTATATTTTGGGTTCAAAACCCTCACCATTTCAATGAACTTTGGATTTTCCACTGTGGCAAATGGCTGCATTGATGTTGCAATAAATTTCGCCACAGCTTCGGTGCAATTTTTAGAGAATTTACTGCCCAGAGGTTGAAAATCTAACATAGTTTTTTACCGCTTTTTCACACTTTCATTTGCGTTCTGCTGAGCATCAACTGGAGCTAAAGGATCATCAACGTCAATGGCATGATTAATATTTCTTGTCAATGGTTTGCTTGAATTGTTTAATTCCCTAAATTTTAAAGGATGATGATGCCGTAGATGACTTGATTTTTGAGCATAATTGAAAAACAGCAATATTTTGGTTTAAAATCCGGACTTTATCATCAGCTGGTAAACCGAAATAAATCCAGACAGCGCTTTTAGTGTTGGGCTTTGATACTACCTGGCGATATCCTAGACAATCCGTAACAGAAATATTCTAAAAAAGAATAATAATAATATCAATATAAATTTTTTTTTAACAGAAGTTTTCAGTCTTAATTTGCAACTGAACTGTTAGCATGTTGCATAATGTGATAAAATCTTTGCCATTATATAATGTTTATTTATTTGTAAATTTTTTTAAATTTAGTTTATAAAACATAATTTCGGCAAAAATAAACAGCAATAAAAAAAAAGTACATACAATCAAAAACCTTCCATCGTACTATTTTAAGATATGACTACATATTTTTTATAAAAAATTTAATGCAAGAAAATTTATTCATTGATTTGTTAAAATTCCACAAAACCCCAATTGAAACTAACAATCTTTCAAATTCCTAAAATTCAAGCTAATGCAAATTTTTAAAAAAAAAATTTAAATACAAAAATAAAATAATTTTGTTTTAAATAATATTGCAGCCTTTACTAGAATATATCAATAAAATATAAAAAAAAAATGAAAAAAGAAAATTTCAAATCCCTAAAAGCGAAACAATTGTTTTCAAAGGTGCTACTTAAAATACTAACATATTACCTAAATATATTTTTAAATTAAATTTGAGGAATTCGATAAATTTCCACTGAACATCAATGGAAAATATTGCTTTCAAGGAAATTATGGCATTTTTTAGAATTCTTCATAATATAGATAAAAATGAAAAAAAGATTTCAAATCATTAAAATCAAAAAAATTTTTGCAAAAGAGGCTATAAAATATTTAAACTTTTGTCACCAAAACATTTTCTTTTAAAGAAATTTTTTCCTTTTGAATTCTATAAATGCCCACAAATCATTGCTAAAATTCAAGCATTACTTTAAATGTAGGCTATTTTAAATTTAAATACAAAAATATTATAATTTTAATACTGTTTTAAATAAAACTGCTTAATTTTCTAGAATTCTTCAAAACATCGATAAAAATAAAAGGAATTTCAATTGCTAAAATCATGACAATTTTTTTAAAAGTGCCATTTTAAATACTAAAATATTATTAAAATGTTTTTTTTTTTTTTAAATTAAAACTGCAGAATTCTATAAATTCCCGCAAAACATCGCTAAATATGCATTTGATTTTCTAAAATTCCAAGAAACACCAAGTGCAAATTTTTTTAAAATTGCTAAAATTCAAGCATTATTTTTAAATGTAAGCAATTTTAAATTTAAATACAAAAATATTATTTTAATACTGTTTTAAATGGAATTGCGGCATTTTCTGGAATTCTTCAAAATATCGATATAAATGGAAGAAATTTCAATCTCTGAAATAGAAAATATTTTTTGTGAAAATCTATAATTTCCACAAAGCGTCAACAGAAATGCATTTTGGGGTAATATTTCCGCATCGTGATCTGTCGCGCCACTACGTTCGTAAAGGTGCAAAATAGATTTTAATCTTTGAAATTGAAAAAAAAATAATAATAAATGATAAAATAAGATAAACGAAGAGGTTTTGCCCGGGGGTTCAAATTGGTCATCTTCTGTTTTGATTTCTCGCAGGCCGCTGCCTGTAAGTTGTCAAAACTTATTATTCTGCCTCAGATCACGATACGGAAATCCCCATTTTTTCTAATGGAAAGTTTCTTTTCTTTTCAGCAATAAATAAATAAATAAGATAATTTAAATTTAATACAAAACAAATTTAAAAAAAAAACAAAACAAGTTTTTAATTAAAATTTGCGGAATTTTGAAACATTTCTCAATACAACTATAGAAACGAAATTCCATAATTAATTATTTATTTATGCATAAAATAGTAATGGAAAATGATATATACATACCTTGATTATATTTATTTCTTCTGTATTATTCATTTTCTGCAGGAGATCCAAAAGCAACGTCGACAATCTCAGATATTTTTAAATTCAGAAACATGCTTTTCTCAAAATGAAACCAAAATCAGCAACTAAGTATACTGTTTGGGGTTGATATAATGTGCGGATGTTTGATATCTGATTCTGATATTGCGAATACCAGGGATATGACGCATGCACTTTAAAGTCAAATGATAGCACAATATGTTGTATTCACAGTAGGAGAAATTACTAGCTGCCTAAAATATAAGGAGAGGAGGTACTTTAAATATCACACACAAGCTTTTGAGTTCTTAACCCCTAAATCAATCCCGTGCCATACTGTCACTTCCCACTTCCTCGATGCCGGTTGGTAGCAGAGATTGGCTAGCGGTGAGTACAGAGAAGGGTTATACTTTCAAATTTGACCACTTCTGTGATATTTTTTTAAAATTGTTTTGTATTTTATTTCATAATTGTTGCAGATACTGATATGGAAAGTTTCATTAGTCATTTATCCTATGTTGATTACTTCTAATACGAATAACTAAACAGCAATTCCAGAGGCCAAACTAATGAGAATTTCACGCATTTGGGCATTGCACAAATAATAGGCCTATAAAATATTAATTAAATTTCTCATTTTTCATTAAAAAGTCATTGATCACCATACTATTTTCATTTCAAATTTGTTTCGAGTTTTTTCTTTCTCACTTGGGTAAGAATTTTTTTTTTAAGAAATGTATTCGATAAATTTAGTAAATATATTTCCCTCCCCCTCTTCTGCTATCTTCTCATTTTCAAATTTTTTGATTCTCGTTCAATAATTGAACCTTGATATTTGCTTTGAACTATTGTTTTCTATGTTACATTAATCTTAAGGAGATCAATCTAAAGTTTTGTTTATAACAAATTTAATTCATGGAAGAAAAAAAACAAAACAAGGAGATGAATACATTACAGGCAATTCAAGAATGATGTATTGGATGTTTGCTATATAGACCAAGCTCTGTTAACACATTATAGCTACTCTAGATTGTTTACATTAATTATTTTCCATCCACACAGTAACTCTAAATTAAAAGTTTTCAGTTTCTGTTATGATGGAACATTATTCGTGTAATTGCCATAAATTAAATGTAAATAAATCAAATGAATTAAGAAGTTATCGACCCTGGGATTAGCAAATATTTGTAGGAAATAAGTTGTATTTTAGTTTTGCAGAAAATCTTTTAATAACTATCTTAAATATATATCAAAGGAAAAAATATGTACAATATTTTAAGAATGAATCAATGTTTCTCATTAACGTAAAATTCCCTAAGATCTTGGTAATTGACTTATCTTTACTAATCGTCTTTGTGGAAATTAACTTTAATTCTTCGTGGAAATTAACCTTTCTGCTTTGTTTCTAAATAACCCTTTCAAAAAATCCATGGAAATATGCAAATCAAATCTATGGACTGATTTTATTTCTGCTATGAAAAGTCTGCCTGCTTGTGATCGAATAGATGGAAGAATTAGAGGTGTCAAAAGCAAGTTTGCAAAGATCATTGCATGATCAAATAACTTACGATGTATGAATATTGTAAAAGTAATATCAAAGGTATACATTTTTTTTCCATCAGCAACATTGAAATTGTTAAACTTTGTAAAGAATTATTTAAGCAACTGCAGCATGCAACAACAGTTTAAGGTAAAAGAAATATGCATTTTTTTAGCCAGCAGATAATAAGCAAATAAAAGGGTAAGTACTGATGCAGAATTTTCCATCACAGCCGGTTTAGATTCCTACCAAAAATATTGATGTTCCACCTGTATGTGACATGTATTTATGATGCACGCTGGTATATTGGAATGGTTTTGGAAGTTCATGTAGAAAAAGGAGGCACAATTAAATTCATGCATCTTTACCACCCATCCCTTTCATATTATTGGCCAAAAAGTGATAGTTGCATACTTCCTTTAATAAACATCTTTGTACAGTTGACATTAACACCACAACAGGGGGAAAAAAAATAGAACTCATTGATGAGTCAAACACGTGAGTAAACAGTGGAAAAAATATTTTTCTATCAGAGGAAAATAGATTTAAAAAAACTAAAAGCGCTAGATAATTCCATACTCATACAATAAAAAAAAATTCTAATACTTATTTATTACTTTATTTAATAACAGTCAAAATAATTTTGAATTGTGAGGTATGCAAATTTTACATAATTTTAAAGAATGTAATTTTATTTGGCAAGAAAAATTGAATGGCATGGAATCAAATTTTAAATTACTTCATTAAAATTCAATTTCTGAAAAAGTTTCTCAGGAATTTAAGAAGAAAATAAAAAGCAGGAATTGCCAAATATTGTACAAAGATGAATGACACAACATTAAAAAAGTCATTAATTTATAATTTTTTTGTTATCTTTGTAAATTAAAGTAAGATAATAAAATGTTCTGATTGCTTACCCAAATTCTGAAGTGATATTTCATTTAAAAAAAAAAAAAAATTCCTGCTCACAACTAACATGCCATAAGACACTTAATTGAGAATGAATCTAGGACTAAATTAAAAGACATCTAAGTCTACCAGGTCATTCTCTAAGGTCACTTCTCCCTCTGTTTTTGTCTTGCATTAACTTTTTGGAGATATTGGCGTGAAGCTTAAACAAAACTTTAATATAGAGAACTTTTGACCATAAAGTAAGTTAATTTAATTTAAAATAAAAACCTGTAAATATATTTTTCAAACAAAAAATTTTGTTATAAGGTGGTATCAGTAATTTAGAGAACATTAAATCTCGGACTTATCGCCCCCATAACCTGGTGACCCGAGTGATTGCCAGCCATATTAGAAAATACTCAGACAAGCTTGAGCTTCTAATAAAATATGTTCAGTTTTAGCTTGTTTGCTCTTTATATATGAATATTTTACTTTTTTATGAATAAGTTAATTATGTTTGCTTTGTGAAAAGAACATAATTACTGTTTTCTTTTTTGTCTTAGGTTTTAAGGATACATACATCAAAGAGGATATTTATTTCGAAATAATTGAACCAGACACACTGCATTATACCTATAAAGTCAGACCTGCTCATGAATTTGGAACTCCTTTTGTAAGTTGGTTTATTTATTATTACAAAGAATCAAATTTAATAAAAATTTTATTTAATAATTTAGATTCAAATCCAATAGTCATTTTTCCAAATTCATCTCCTATTTTACATTTCTCTTTTGTTTTTATATGACTCACCTATTGTATTACAGTGTAACGTCCCATATCCGGACGTCCCTTTCCCGGAAGGATCGATTTCCCGGACACTTTTTAACAATCAAAATAAACAAACATCTCTTGATCTTCGCATTCCAAGTCCGTGGAGTGACCATTAGTGACGCTCCTCTTCTGGAATGCTGGGAAAGAGGGTAATTTGTTTTCAATAGAGCACAACTGAGTCCCCTCCCCCCTTCTTTCGTATGCAGCTGGCTAGTAGATGAGGCATTTCCTGGAACCTTTTTACTGTAGAAAAGGGTAAACGTGGAGGGGGAGTATGTCCTTGAGAAACATTGTCCATTCAATATTTAGGAGGCGGGGGAAAAAAAGGGGGTAACATTCTTTCTTTAGCATTGACATGAAAAAGATTTCCAAGACTCCCATGCCACTGAAATATGAATTTGACTAACAAAAGTCCTTTTATTCCAAACCAAAAACTAAATTAGATTTCTCCGAAATGTATTCCTTTTTTTCATGCAGTGCACCTACAAATACATTACAGGAACAGGCGAATACCTTGGCGAAATAAGTCTTGCAAAATACTCTGAAACTAATTTCTCTCGCCAAATATCTCGTATTTAAAGCAATCTAACGCGTCACATTTGTTCGTTTTTACCGATCTAGCATTTGTGAGTTAAGAATTTGTGATTATCGACAGCTTGCTTCTTTTAATTATTTTTATTAAGTTTTTTGACAAGTTATTGTTTTTTTAAGTTTTTAACTGCGTAATTTTTATTAAGTTTTAATTGAGTTACTGTTATTCGTGTTAAGTTTTTTTTAAAGTTATTTTTGTTTATTACCTTTTATTTTTCTTACGATGTCTTCACGTCCGTTGAAGAAAAGAAAAAATGTTTCTTTATCAATTAAAGAAAAAGTAGAGTTACTGAGAAAATTGGACATGGGTACTTCAGTATCTAAGTTGTGCGACGAATATAAAGTAGGAAAGTCTAATGTGTACGATATAAAAAAACAGAAAGAGAAACTTTTTGACTATTTTTCAAACTCAGACACACCTCTTGCAATGAAGGATCGGAAATATATACGAAATGCTAAACACGAGGATCACGATAGAGTTATGATTGAGTGGGTACGACAACGCCGTAGTGAAGGCGTACCGTTAACGGGACCAATGTTAATGGCTCAAGCAAAGATTTTTCATGAGGATATGGCCATTCAAGAGGAGTGCAGCTACAGCATTGGATGATTGAAAGCCTTTAAAAAAAGACATGGTATGAGCCAGCTATCTATTTGCGGAGATCGTGCGGAAGCTGACACCGAAGCTGCTGAAAAATTTATAGAAGATTTTGAAGAATTAATTAAAAATGAAGACTTGTCACCAGAACGAGTATATAATGCCGATGAGACTGGACTGTTTTGGCGGTATGTACCCCGAAAGACTTTAGCCGCAGCTGAGGAAAAGAATCCAACCGGTGTTAAGGACTGTAAAGTAAGAATGACAATTATGGTGTGTGCAAATGCTTCAGGTACACACAAATGAAATTGTTTACAATTGGTAAAAGTGCTCGCCCTCGCACCCTAAAGGGTGTTAAAGTGTTACCCGTAAATTATCGATCTAACCGAAAAGCCTTGATGACCCAGCAACTCATGGAAGAATGGTTGGACAACGATTTTGTGCCGCAAGTCAGAAAGCATTTTCAGTCGATTGGCTTGGAAGAAAAAAAGCCACTTTTAATACTGGATAATTGCTCTGCCCACAAAATACCGTTATTGATGGAAAGGGCAAATGTTTCTGTTGTGTTCTTGTCACCCAACTGCACTTCAATTTTGCAGCCGATGGATAACGGTATCTTAAGATCCTTCAAGTGCAAGTATAAAACGCAATTCTTGATGTCAATGCTGACCTCTTTAAGTGATGGCCAAAACTTACAAGACTTCGTTAAGTCTTATTCCATAAAGACTGCCATATGGAATATAGCAAAAGCGTGGGATGAAGTTGATCAAAAGCCCTTAAGAATGCTTGGAATAACATTTGGCCAGCAACTATTTTTTTTGGTAATGATGAGGACGAGCCCCTCTTTGAAGGTTTTCGTCCAAACAAAGAGAAAGAAAGTGTGAGAGAGTTGTTGCACTACATCAAAAGTCATTGTGAGAGGGAAAAATTAGATGAAGAAGATGTTGTAGAAACGCTAAACTGCGACGATGATGCCCCAACTGTGCCCCAACTAACCGACGAGGAGATAAAAAACATAGCTTTAAACAAACAAGATAGTGACACAGAAAGTGTAGATAGTAAAGAAGAAATAGCAGAAGAGAGGATTTCAACTGACGATTTAGTTAATCATTTAGATATTGCCATTAAAGGACTGGAACAAAGAGACTATATTTCTGAACAAGAAATCATGTCCCTTCATAGGATTAAGGAAAAATTGCTCAATAAGAAACCGAAAATGAAACAGCTTTCTTTAAAGGATATGTTTAAAAAATAAAATATTTATAGTGCCTACGCATTTTTTATTAGGAGTTTTTGATTTCTATGTAAGGTAAATAATTGATCTTTATTTTACGTAAGCATTATCTTTTTAATATTTTGTTTGATTTAAATCGTTGAGAAAAGCAATTTTTTTTCTGGTTTCTTGTAACATTAATTTAATTTTTTTTGTTGTCATTTTAAAGCTTTTTAAATGATTAGTTGCGATTTATTTACGTGATGTGTTATGGACTTATACTATGCTTATTTTAAAAATCAGAAGTTTTTTTTTCCTTAGATGGTTGAGTCAGTAATTCCCTCTTCTTTAATGCATTTTATAACTGCGTATTTGGCGTAATTTTGATAAATAATCAATTTTCTATAATGCTAATGGTTAGTTGATTTTCCCGACGACCACGATAAATTGACAAATTATGTATTAAAGTTTAAATAAAAAAAAAAGAAGAAATAACAGTTTGGCGTGTCGATAATCGTGACGTCGATTGTCGTTTTCAATAAGTACGATGGTTTTCTGTATTTTTTCTAAGTTAGTGTGGTCAATTATGTCTCGAGGTGTAATATTGCGCCAGATTATTTTTTAAACGATTAAATAAAGCATAGTAATATTTAAACATTATTAATGAATAAAGAACAGACATATTTCGGCCGTTTTAGAATTCCAATGCAATTCTTTTATTCACCTCATTTAGTAAAGGATAGCTGTGTATTTTCTTTAAAAGATTTCTTTTCAACTTGTCAAGTGATAACAATCCTCCCCCTCTTAAGCCAGGCGAAATTAATATGCCCTTCCTTAACGTTGTTTTGACAACCACTAACGTGATTCTTTCAGTCCCACAAGAAAAAATAAAGATAACTCCATCAGCATGCCGCGCCCTAACGCTTGATTGATAACTTCCCCGCCCTCAACTTGAATGATCTCTTTACACATATTTTCTCTACACAAATAAGGAGGGAATGGATTTTTCTCCCCCACCTACCCACCTTAATGAATGACGGGGAATCCCGTTTCTTCCTTGAATCGTTCTAGTTCAAAATGGCGGATAGAGCAAATTAATATTTTCATTACTACTGTCAATTTTTTTTCGTTTTCTAAATTTTAAGCACTAATTATTTTTTTTCTAATATTTTGTTTTCGATTGATTAAATATCACATTCAAATACTAAAACATTATTGCCCAAAAAATAACGTTTATTTATTTTTTGCTTCTTAGATTCAGATCGTTTATTAGATCATTTTAAGCTTTGTTTATCTTAGGGGTGTATTATACGGAAAAATCTATTATCCGGACTTCGGGAAGTCCCACCGATTCCGGATACGCGACGTTCCACTGTATATATCATTTACCCACTATATCTCTCTCCTATTGTAATTATATATTGTTATTATTATTGTTAATATATTATATATTATTTACCCACTATATATCTCACTTATTGTAAAAGTATATTCTAATTAGGACAAATAAGAGAACGAAGTTTCTATAGCAATAAATTTATTTTAAAAACATATTAAATTGGTAGACGAACTGTCACAAACATAGTGAGTAACAAAAAGAATGAATGCAAAATAATCGGCTTCAACAGAAGCTTAAATAATACTCTTTAAACAGATAATGTCATGATCCACGCCAGAACGATCAACAGCAAATGAAAAGAAACTGGCCGGTCGCCGCAGATCATAATGTTACCAACGTAAGTTGAATGCATGAGCTCGTCATCTTAAACGACTGACGAAAATCGAACCTATAACCTTTATGTTATTTAATCAATCAAAAATAGAAAAAACCCTTTTAGCATTTATTTATCCAACAGCTCTGCCGCAGATCGCAGTTAAACATGTTGTTCATTTAGTAAAAATTAGAGAATATTTTTTATGTAATTTTTTTAAGAAAAATTTCAATAGCAGTTAATTTAAATGTAACTTGTAAGTTATTTTTGATTTCTTAAATAATAAATGTTTCTAAACTAATTTTTTTCTTTAATTTGCATATCTTTAAGATTATTAGGATGTTGTCTGGATATTAACACTGTTTTAAATTGAGTCACTATTTATCACTTTTTAAAAAGTTTTAAATACTTTTTTGCTACTTTTTCTATAACGACCTGTGCTAAGCCGTGCAACAACATTCTTTATTTAATTTTTAAAATCTCAATTTATTTGCAGCTTTAAATGATGCATCAACTTATCAAATCTTGACTGTGCTAATTTTTAAATCTTTAATATAATTTTTGGAATATCAATATGTTCTTATTCGGAAAATTTTTATTTCACAGAATGGCAGTTTTCACAGCATTGGTCTTGTTTTGACGGAACCTGCTAGTGGGTGTAACATACCTATGAATAAATTAGAACTACACAATAATATTGCATTGATGGATCGTGGGTTAAGTATATGTCTGACTATAGATAGTTTAAACTGATGTGATTTAGTAATATATCAAAGTAGTAACAAATAAATATAAAGTTTGTCTGACAAATATTGCTCCATTTATTGTCCGTCACTCGTTTGTCATGCAATGTTTTTTATTAATGAATCTTAGATTAAATATATCTTTGATTATATCAGTTTTTGGATGATAAATTCCTCACCAGTAAAACTTGAAATCACATTTTTAAGTATATTTTTCACATGAACTATTTGATCGATTCTGTTTAAATTTAGGATTACTTTAATATTTACTTAATAGTTTCAGAGATACAGCAAAGTTTGCTGACATTAACATAATAAGCTACACAATTGTAACGTTCCATCAATCAAGAAACTCAAAAGAGTCTCTTGATTAGCTTTATTCATCAAATTTTGACATTAGTTTTCATTTGTTCATACTTCTTCAGGCAGTCGTATGGTAGTTTGCGGAAAGGTAGAGCTGTCGCCTTAAACATCAAGGAAGAACTTTGCATATATTTTTATTTTTATGTAAGTTTTAATAGTTAATTTTTTAATTTGTTATTGGTATCTATTTTATGCAAAACAGGTGGTATTCGGCTCTTTCTCTCTATGTAGCTTTTTTAAGTAGCCAGTTTAGTTAAGAATTTGCTACTTGTGCTGGAACCCTACTGGTGGAGGTCAAAATAAGTTAGATTGACGACCAACATTTTAAACTGATGCCAGCTCCAGCATATTTGAAATAGAATATCTTGGTCTGAGATTTAGCGTGACCACTGCAAGTAATGCACTCATTTTTACGATCTGATAGCATTCTGAATGAAAAAAGGAATTTATTAGAGTCTTGTTCTTGCAGCTATTGTGAGGCATTCTCTGAAAGTTTTATGCTACAACACAACACAAGTAAGGTTTTGTGTTACTGAACCCTGAGTGCTTATTTGTTTTGGTCAGTATCTGTAAGGTGAAGTCGGATATACTCAGTTTCAATTGAAGTGTCTTTCCATGCTTTGTATATTTGCAATCTACAAACTTTGTGAAAGCTTGTTGGACTCTGTTATAACTGAAGTACTTTTGCTGCACTACGAACTTCTATCCTCTTACTGTTCTACTAACTCCCAAAGAGGATTTGTACGTACTATGCCATTATACGTTTAAACAGGTTTTGTTTGTTGGGTTAGCAACATTTCCTTAGTCAGGTGCTTTATATCCTCAGGGTTGCCACAGACTACTAAAATGCGACTATTTTGCCTGAAAAGACTAAAAAAGCGACTATTTTCAGGAATAGCCAACTATTTGGATAATTTTTTACTCTTAGTGAAGTTTTTTTTAGCAAAAATGAATGTTACTTTTCAGAACGTTAATAAAAGATAGCAAACTTTTATACAATCATGTATGTCCAAAAAGCCAAACATTAAAATTTCCATTAGATTTAATAAAGTACTTTTTTTTTCTCTCTTAGGGGCTGTTGTTGTTTTTTCCTTCTATTAACATTCATATTTTATTTTAATTCGACTTTTATTTAGGTACCTATTTTCTAATATGTATAACTTTTATATTTGTACAAAACTTTTTTTAAATTAGAGCATAGTTAGGACTGGGTGATAAATCGATGTATCGTGTAATATCAATTTAATGCATATATCGGTAGACTGGTATAGTGACTTTCGTTTTAGGTGATGCATCAGAAATCTGATTTAAGCCATTGGAATAAGACTACAATAGCGGTTTAACGATTTAATATGCAAGGATCCTTGACTACGCTAATGCTGTTACCGCACTGCAGAAGACGATTTTGAATTCGTCTAGCTGCAGAGATGTAGATAGCGTTTAGCTATAAAGACGATGTTACAGTTTCATGACGAAGAGCGAACTGAATCAGAACTCCCGGTTTCGTGCGAGGATCAGCGTTGTAATATAGAACGCAATGCATAGTTTCTTTATGTCCATTTTTGTCTTTGGGAATTTGCGTTTTTTGAATATTATTTTCAATGATACTTAAGTTATTTTGCGATTGTTGTGCATTTTATTTCGTCGGGAATAATTTTCGGGTTTCTTGTAAATTATTTTCAGTGATACCTTTGCTACTTAGCGATCGTTTCCTTCTGCATTTTTTAATACCTATTTTTTTTTCTGTCTGGATTTAACGATTCTTGTCAATTATTTTTAGTAGACCTACTGTTACTTTACGATTGCTGCACAATCCTTGTTATCATAAGTTTTTGTTCTGAACTCAATTGATCAATAAAAAGAAAATATAATAAGAAAGATTCTTCATTGATTTTTTTCAATTATTGTTTTTCATTATAAGCGATGCAATTTTATAGAGGTATTTTGTATTTAACTTTGTTATAAAATGTTGGTTTTTTAAAATTTATTTGATGTAAGTATAATAATTTGATTATTTTTAAACCAATAAATGTTCAGTCGTTTTTAATTATAAAAAAATTAAGACAAAGCTTACCTTTATTTAATTTGCTTTTATTTTTGTGAAACTGAAAACAAAAAATTTTTAAAAAAATTTGGCTATTAGTTAAAACAATTTTTTTAAAAATTAAATAAGGAGTTTAACAATGTTTTGACGCTTTTTAATAATTTAACATTAGTACTCAAACTATTGTGGCATTAGTCTTCTTTGTATAACTTATAAAATTCTATCTAGAATTTTATATCTCAGGCTGTTACCATTCATTGACTCACAAATTGGAAAATATCAATGTGGATTCCGTGCTGGAAAATCAACTAAGGATCAGGTATTTTGTCTCCGTCAGATTTTAGAGAAATCAATGGAATTTAAATTTGAAACACATCTTTTTATTGATTTCAAGGCTGCTTTTGATAGTATCAATAGAAATTATCTTTCTGAAACAATGAATACTTTTAAAATATCTTCAAAACCCATTAAATTGACGAGACTTACATTGAAAGATACGAAGTGTAAGATTAAGTTTCTTGGGTCTCTGTCTGAAAATCTTGACATATTCACATGTGTTTGACAAGGAGATTCTCTCTCCTGTCTTCTTTTTAATATAGCACTTGAGAGAGTTATTCGTGATTCAAACATCAATACCAGTGGTCACATTTTTACTAGACCAGTACAACTACTTGTATATGCTGATGATGTTGATATAATTGCTTGTTCCCTTCCTGCCCTGAAAGAGGCATTTTTCTTGCCCTTGAGGTGGCTGCAAAGCAAATGGGCTTGGTTATAAATGTAGAGAGAAAAAAAATATACGTCATTCTCAAGAAACACGAGTTCCAGACCCCTATCTTGAAATAAATTCTTATATATTTGAAACAGTGAGGAGTTTTATTTACTTAGGATCACCATTACCATTGACAGCAGAATTACTTCTGAAATGAAAAACCGACTCTATCTGGCAAATAGGGCTGTCTATGGGCTGAGAAGATTTATTAAATCTAGGCTTTCTAGAAAAACAAAGTTCTTAATCTACAAAACTCTTGTCCGGCCAGTCTCGACATACGCTTCTGAAGCTTGGACAATGACAGAACTGGAGGAAAATTGTATTGCAATATTTGAGAGAAAGATTTTGGGAGGTATACTTGGTGGTGTAAATGAAAACAATAACTGGAGAAAGAGATTTAATTTTGAACTGTACAAGATCTATAAACAACCTGATATTATTAAATGCATAAAAATAAATAGAATAAATTGGATTGCACACGTGATTCGAATGTGTGACGACAACACAATAAAAAAGATACTGCTTTTTAGACCCACTGGAAAAAGAAAGCGGGAAAGGCCGCAGTTGAGATGGGCTGAATCAGTGGTGTCTGATTTTCTCGCAATTAATGAATGAAATTGGAGATCAAAGATAAATCGGAAGTCGTCATGGAGAAATCTTCAGAGGAAGGCATTGGCTCACATTGGGCTGTCTGGCCAACTATGATGATGCTAATATAACAATCAAAGGAGATTTCCTCGCTTTTCAAAGTATGCAAATGAACCGGAAATCTCGGGTGGCCCTCTTATTTTCCCTAACTACGGTGGTCTAAGAGTTTGCAAACAAAGTTATGAAAAACAGGGGGGGGATAAAATTGTATAACGTTCGTCACTTACTTTGTTTTTACAATTATCGGTTCCCTCTTCACTCCCCCAGTAACAAAAAGAGTCCCTCAAAAGACCTCGATGTCTTCTTCTCAAGCCCTCATTAAAAGGGTGTATGTTGTATGCTTTTTTTTTTAAATTCTGCCCTAGCTAAAAAAAAAAAAGAAGAAAACTTAAATAAAAATTTTAAATTAAAAGAGAAATCGTTGATGTTGATCGATTTTGCGCCTTTTTGACAATGCGCCTATGGCATTCACCATAGTTGCCATACCCTAGATATGCCACTGATATTATAACCTATAAGAGCTAATCTTCAAGTAACAAGAGTCAAGCAATTCTTTCAGACTTTATCTCCCGTGAAATTGATTTTATAATTTTCAGTTTTTTTTTTCGTTCACATAAAACATTTGTATTGGCTTTTGATTCATTTTTCCTCATTTCATTTTTTTATTAATGTAACAAACACATGAATTTAGTGAACTTTATTTGATAATATTTGTTTTTTATTTTATTGGTTTCTTTTACATAGGAGCTGTTCATTTTTAAGCAAATGCATTAATGCTGAAAAAGTTGGAGTGGTAGCAGTTATAATTGCTGATAATGACATTTCCAATGATGATCAGTATATTGATATGGTTACTGATACTACAGATAGAAATTGTTCAGTTCCAGCCATGTTCCTTTTAGGAAAAGATGGGTAATTAAAATATTTTATTTAAAACTTCATTTTTATATATTAGGCACATTCTACTATCTTTTAAATTTTTATACGACAACATTTCAAAACATTTTATTAGTTCAAAACAAATAAAATAGGTCTAATAAAATTTTTCCCAGAGTATTGTTCAGTGTTAAAAAAAAAAGCAAAGTGAAAATTGCTTGAATTTTGTTCAACACAGAATTATTTCAACACAATGTGCATTGTACTAACTCTTCTTATTTTTAAAAATGACTCCCAAGTTTTGCATTGTCTATAAGTTCTGTAAAATTTACATGCCTCCTTATTTTTATTAAATTTTTTTTAAAGAAAAACAATTTTATTGATAAATTTTTTTAATCAATTATTACCTAGAGTCAGACAGGGCTGGAAACTATACTATTTTGATTTTGTTAAAATTTTTGGGAGGCTTCATGTAAAATAATTACACAATTTTTAAAAAAAAAATTTGTTGCATTAAAACTGAAGATCCTCTAGAATATTTAGAAAAACACATTAATTTAAATTTGGCAATACTTTTTGTGAAATGAGTGAACCATGTTCTTTGTGCTCTACTGCTTCTACACTATCCCCAGTAAACACCAACACTTGTTCACCAAGAGCAGCAGGCAAATTTTGATTATCATAATAAGTGGAAATCACCATCCCCGAAGTCTGTGGCTTGGCTCCTGGACTAATAAAATTTTCATTTTGTGACTTAGCTAAGTTAACTATTATTCGAGCTTAAAACTAAAACACAAATATTTTCCTCATGAACATCTCATCTTTGCTCCGAAAAACAAATACTGGTTCTGAAACTTGTGAAGAGGTTTTTCTATTTTCAAACATACATGAAGCAGAGTTTGTTACGTAATAGAATACGATAAACCTCTTTTTTTTGCTTTGGAGATCACTTTACTTATGAGGCAGACACAAACACTCAAACCGAAATAGTTGAGAGGCTCCTCCGCATTCGTGGTATATTTGAAGCCAGATTCTGTTGAAAACAGTTTGACTAATCTATAACTCTTTAAATATTTACTTCACGGAGTAGAATGCATACAACTAAACTCACTGTTTCTTTATTTAAATAATATGCACAAGGCTATTTTGAATCAGTTCATGACGAAACCATTCTACGTATAAATACTTCGAAAGTTATATTATCATTGCTGATGTTCATATTCTTTTATTTTGTCAAGCTGCAGTGTGCTAGCTTGTTTATTTTTCTCAAGTATTTTCTTTTATTTTTCAAGTTATTTTTCTCAAGTTTCAAAGATTCCCAAAGGAATCTTTGTGGAAGTAAATGGAAAAGGGTGGGTGAACCGTTGTTGTTCATTTGGCAAAAGAGGAAGTAAGCCTTTTTCAAGCCAAGTGCACTCTTGGTTATGGATTCAGTATAGGCGCACATAAGTGAAGTAACTAAAAATCAATGCAAAAATTTCCCTGCATGTTTATCTATCATACCAGGTGGCTTGACTAAAAGCTGCAGCCCCTGGACATGGGAATTAACAAATCATTCAAGTCTAAAGTTCATTCTTGGAAGGAATGGATGGAGTGGAATTGTTTGCATATATAATAGAGCTAATAATTTTTTATTAATTTGTTTTAAATTTGCCATTTTATTTATATATAATAGAAAAAATTATGCATTGTTCTAACTTTGCACCAATATTGGTGCAAATTTGGGTGCAGGTCATAGTCCAATGCAGATTCTAGGCTGAGGATTCTCCCTCTTCTGAAAATGAGGAGGTGCATATTATAGACCGTCTGTATTAGTCACATCTGTATTTATCTGTAGTAGTTAAAACCACGTTATTTCTGATATTAAGTTTAAAAAAGAACAGGAAGCCAAAAAAATGGGGTTGGGCGGGCAAAGAAAAAGGAAGTTTTTTAGTTAAAAAAAAATATTACCAAGTTAGACAAGAGTTGCAATTTGTTAATGGTATTTTAATTACCCTTCTTAAATTAAATCTAATAGTTATAACTGAATGTTTGAGAAAAGAATTCTTAAGTGGACTACTTAAAAGTATATTTAGTATTGTTAAGAATTTGAACATGGTTCAAACTTGTGTTTTTTGGCCATGTATAAGATATCAAAGTTATGGTGGAATCCTGTTCTACATGTGCTAAATTTCAAATATTTTCCAATGCTTTATTTCTTTTATTTTAATAGCAAAAATATCATTCAATTAATTATTATTCAAAATTTATTGAGGTTTGTGTGATAATACCTGCTATAAAATTGATCTTTGCTAGACAAGATCTAGAAGTGATAAATGATGGAGGTCCACCTTTCAATTCTTACGAGTTTGACAGTTTTGTGAGAAATCCGACAGACATACCTGAATCAGTACAATATATCCTGAATCGAATGAACAGGTAGATCGATCCATTCAGACTGTTAAAAAATGTTCAGAAAGACTAGCTGATTCTAAAAATTCCTATTGAGCTTTACTATTATATCATGTTCTCTTTACTATTATATCTGTTCTGAACTGTTGATGAATAGAAAACTAAATTACTGTTTCACCAAATTAAGCAAATCCCCAACTTTCAGAGAATAAGTATCAAAATGAGCAGAAAAAGAAATAAGTGAAATCTGAATCGAAAATTCTTGTCCCAACTTACATCCTGGAAGTGCAGTTTTTGTTCAGAACAATGTAGAAAGAATGTTAACCCTAAGCACTTGAAATTTGATAATTACACTAAAGAGTATCAAAACACAACTAACTAAAGAAATTTTTTAACTTCGTTTAAAACAATTTCTTTTTGGATTATTGCTTTAAACAGCAAATAAATTTCTATCAATGTTTCACAGGAAAATAATTTTCTCAAAAATTTGCTAATTTGGGAAAATGGTTGGGAGATGGGCTGATTCTTCATGATTGTATAGATATTTTATGAAATAATAAAAAGCAATGCATTTTTTAAAATAAATATTAATATTTTAAATGATGGGTTAAATTAATAAAGCATGATTTAGGAGTAAAACTCTGATTATATATTTTTTATTTTTCAGTTATATGATCAAAAGAAGTTTAAGAACTCTCAACTTAACTAGAGCTATTATCAATATTCCCATAAATATGACTTATGTTTTTCCACATGATCAGAAGCAACCACCATGGGTTTTATGGTGACATGCTTTTATTTTCAACTATAGTTTAATGTTTTTGTTAAATAAAAGTTGTAAATAATATGTTTCTAAGTCAATTTATATTAAAATGAATTTTATTCTAATATGCACTTTCTTCTTACATATTTTAAAACATTTTTATATTAACTTGTCAATGCATTTTAAAACTATAATTAGTAGAAAATCTGTTAAGACAGTAATATGTTGTAATGAGAGACAATATTACTGAATAAAACAAAATATTAAAATTTATTTCTGTCAAAATAATTTCATAAAGGTACATTATTACAAGTTTATGTATATATTTCAAATAAGTGTTTTCAATTTACAAATTGATATACAAGATGCAATAATAAAAACTGCATCTGAAAGTAAAATCAAAGTATCACAGTTTATATCCTAGTTTACAAAATACATCAGATCTTATGAATTCATCCACAGGGATACTGAACACATGAGAAGTAAGATTCCCCAAATTTTTTTTATTGCAGAAATTAATGAGTTGCCACAAACTTGGCATATATAAATATATATAGTTTAAAAAGGGTATTTGCATAGTCATGAATAATTGCACATAATGATTGTAGTTTCATGATACAAGAATCATATCTCTTATAATTATGTTTGATAAGATTGCTCTAAAAATAGTTGTGAATTGAGAAATAATGGAAGCAGACATTGTTTCATACTTAATTTTAAAAAATCAGTGTTACTAAGTCCGATATGAAAGTATAAAGGAAAATGACTCAAACACCTCATAGTCATGAGGCTAGTATTTATCTGAAGATAGTTAAACCCATGGGGCTCTAAAATAAAAAAATACCTTTAACTGTATAAAAATGTATATATATATATATAGTTATGCATTAGGTTATCTAAAAAACAAAACTCTTATGTTTAAATATTCAAAATATAAAGGAGATAATACATTGACATACATAATAATCAGGGCTCAATAATTATACCATCAGACATAAAAACTACAATTGGGCATGCACCTTTACATACACAGCCAGTCATGTAAATATTCAATTAAAAATACCATAGATTTCTAAAGAACAGCGTTCCTCAAATTTTGACAAAAGTTATCTTGTCGAATAAGGCGAAAAATGCCACCTAAGGGAAAGAGAATTTTTTTTTTTTTTTTTTTGCTCCAAATGCTGTGCTTAAGAAAATATTAAAATATTGTTTGAAAGTAACATGTTAATAATCGTACTTCGTTAATAATAATGCTTTACATTTAATGGATCAATGCCTTGTTTGCACTTCAAATACTTCCTTTTTAATGATACTTTTGATTTTATTGAAACAAATACTAAAAATGTAGTTATTCTTTGATTGGTTAATAATAGGTCATACATTTTCAAGTAAAAGTAATCCTAAAAATGAGCATGTATCCTGCACACTAGCAGGTTTTGCAGGCCACCTAAAATTTTTTAGGCAAAATGGAATCGAGGACAAAGTTAACAAATTACAATATAACTGAAATGTAATCAATTGCTCATTATAATAAACCAAGGAAGCAATTCTAACAAGTTTACAACAAAATTATAGCCTCACCTAAATTTTTTTTTATTAAGTAAATATATTACTTTTATTAAAAACATTTTCTTGTATAATAAAACCTTTATAAATTAGATCTAACTCTAACAATATTTGTTTCGCAATTAAGTACAAAAATAAAAAGTCTAAATTCCCCACTACAAAAACATATCCTCAGATAGTTTTATCTCTTTTAATTTTACATACAACTGAAATTATATTTCTCTGACTAAATGCCATTTGACTTACAATTAATTTAGTTTTCTTTCTAAAAAATGTCTAATGATTGGATTTGTAGTGAGGATATTGTTAAGAGATTTGACAAATTAATTTCACAATCTTCTATGGCCTAAAAATTAGGATTTGGAGTAGTGTGGTCTACCTCCATAGTTTATTGGGCATTAAATCAAATTTTGGTGCTGGCAATTTTGCCTTTGAGACTTTTGACTTTGCTTTTTAGAGCATCCTAATGTTACTGTAATGTAATTTATGCTAATATTACTCATAATTTTCATAATCATCAACATTCAACTTATTTTCATCAATTCAAATAGTATAAAGACATTTTGATTAAAAAATCTATAACTCAAATACTAAATTTTCATTTCAATGAATTTTTTACTCAATACCAAAACTGGGATTACTTTGGCCATTTTATATATGTATATAAAAAGAAAGTTGGGGGATGTCATAAACCACTTATTTATTAGTCGTAGCAAACTCCTAATGAGAGTTTGCTACCTCATTTGTTTCCGATTCAAATAAAGATTTAATTATGGTTCATTTTTCCAAAAAGTGAAACATTTGAGCCCTTTGGCTTCTTACAATTTTAGTGATATGTGTATGAACTGTATATTAATTTACTATGGAATATACAATCTCATGCATAAATAGAATTAGCTAATAGAACTCTTTTTGTATATTGTAGTATGAATTGTTCAGTGCTCCATAAATAAAATTATACTTCCTATTTTAAATAAAGCAAGTTTGTTACATAGCATATTTTATTTACCTTGTCATGCTTAACACTAAATATACCATAACCAGTTAAAAGATCGGTAGTTGTATTGTAAAGTGTTGGTATGTTTAGTGTTGATCAGAACAAATACTTTTTTTAGTTTGAAATTAGCCCTAATGAGAGTTTGCTACCTCATTTGTGCCTAAAAAAAGACCAACCTGAATAACTTTTGATCTTCACGTTCTAGAACTCAATCTTATTGGTTTCGGAGGGACCTCAAATATGCTAATTCATTAGTGCATACAATACTTTAACTTAAAGAATCAGACACAAAAAGTTCTTTCTTTGTTCTACAAAGATAATTCCATGCAAAAATTACTTATAATAATTAATTTTAATTACTTTATAATTGAAAAGATTTTTGAATTATAAGGTATACAATTTTTACACCAATTTAATGAATGCAAATTTACATGGCAAAGTATAACTTTCATGAATTAGTTTCTATAAAAAATTTACAATTCCAAGTTAAATTGTATGACATAACCCTATTATTAAGATTAGGGAATCTTACTTATTTTTCCAAAAGCAATATGTATGTATAAGAAAACTAAGTGGAAGAAAAACATTGAAAAATATTACACAATTTGTTAACATCACTATCTTATCTTATAGATAATATTAAGAAATTGCTACTTTTTTCATGTTCAAATTTTTAAAAATAATAAATTTTATAAAGGTTTGGTAATAAAAAGCACATAAAAATATATCTAAGTATGGTCATTTAAAATTATAATCAAAATTTTTTATAATTGTAAACTTTCATAAGCACAAGAACTAAGAGAAGATTCTGTACAATTAACTTAATATTAATTCTAGGAAAAAAATTTAGAAGCAAGACAACTATTTCAGAAGCAGAAACAATGCTTGACAAAACTTCTTATGATTATGCTGACTTTAAAAATGAGATCAAGTGTTTTTTAACCAATTTAACTCAAAAAGGCAGGTAAAAAAGTTTAAATTATTTAAAGTTGAAATTTACTCAGTTATGTAAAAGTTAAAAAAAAAAATCAAGAAATACTGTAAAACAGTTTTGCACCTACATCAGAATGATTCATTAAAAAAAATGAAATGAATAGTTTTATCAATCGATTGAATGGTGGTAAGAATTACCTTACCAATTATATAAAAATGTAAGATTTATATAAAAATTCAGAAATTCCTCAAACTGGATTGTTTTGGGTGAGGTTAAAAAAAAGTTTAATTATTGCTTAAAAGGTTCTTTCAAAAATAAAAACTGCTTTAGAAAAGAAATTTAAAAAGTCTATAAAATTTTTTAGCACATGATTGCTGAAATGCTATAAAGTTGATCCAAGAAGCAAGAGTATTAATGTTAATGATTAATTATTATGCTCAGGTAAAATTGAAACATACCCTTACAAATTTTTTCTAGAAACTGCTGTAAATTGTGGTTAAAACATAATTTTCCTTTTTATATTTTCCAGCAGTGTTCCATAATGTACTACTGTTTTTTATACCTTTCAAGATACAGTGACCTCTCACTTATGCACCACCTCTTTTATGCACCTTTTTCATTTCTACGACGATTTTGATAGGTCTCAGTACATTAGGTAGGAAAATAATGATAAACATCCTTCGTTTATGCGTTGCTATAAAAATAAATTTTTCAATTTTGCGCCGAAATTTTAGGCTAACATTTAAATTTTTTACTCTTAAATATGTTTTCTTCTTTAAAAAAAAAGGTTTTAAATTAAAAATGAAGCAATCCTTGTTACAGATAAAAAGAAATATGTTGTTACATCCTATTTAATTTTCTTTCCCCTGTGACCTTCTCATTTTTGCTGTTTCTGGAAAGACATTCTTTCTACAATTTTGAATAGGGTGTCATATCTGTTACACCAACAACAATGAAAGCCCATTTCATCTTTAAGAAAATGATCATTCCTCTTGTCCAGAGGTTAGTTTTACTCCCATGCTGTTTTCTAGAGAGAAAAAAAAGACACCTGTAATATCAAAGAGACCACGATCACTTATTTGCAGTCAGATGGACATCATGAGTAAATAATCAGAGGTGGTCTGTTTAGTGACAATAGTAGACTGCTTTTCTTAGAAATTTATCATGTGATGCTTCATCCCCTCCCATGAAACTAAAATATTTTGTGAAGAGCTATTCATTTATATCTAACTTAAACTTGTGGACGATGAAAACGTGGTGGATGATACTGACGAGGATGATAAAGTTCCTCCATATCACATAGTATTAGAAGCTTAAGACACTATTCTTGACTATTTACAATTTAATTTTGCTTCTGAAACTCCCTTATCCCATTTATATGAACTGGAAAAAGCTGTTTTTGAAATATGTCGGCAAAAACAAATACTAACATGTAATAAGGTTATTTTGTAAGATAATAAATTGTCATTAGTTATGTTAAATTTTTTCTTTGTATAATTATAGTAAATACCAAAACAGTATAAATATTAACATTTTATGTTTAGAAACATATTTATTCATATTGTCATTGCAATTTACGTTGCGTAATTTTGAAGATTTTCACTTATGCGTCTCATTCACTTATGCGCTTTTCTCTGTTGGCCCCTTACACCGGTGAATAAGTGAGAGTTCAGTGTAACAAAATATTAAAATAAACTTTTGTTTTAAGTTATAGTCTTATTTGTATTAGAAAAATATGAAATTGTTTTCAAATAAAGTAGAAAAAAAAACATTGGGTTAAAGAAATGTTAAGCTGATAATGAAATTAATCTTACTTCAAATCACACGTAGAGTATACTGGTAAACATATAAAAAAAAAACTTGATAATATGACTGTTAGAAACAAAAATTTGAAATTTAACTTCTCAAATCTCCTTCTTACGGGGTAAATTCTTAAACTGTGATGGTAACAATATTAGGCAGAAAGATAAGAGAATATCAGTTGATTAGAAATACACAAAATAAATAGATTTGAGATATAAGAAAAAATGCTAACTTAATCCATTTTGTGGATAATTTTTTTCTAGCTGTAACAACATTTACATTTAATGCATAACTCCTTGTTTAGTAAATTTGATTTAATTAGAATTTTTTTTCTACAGCAAGCAAATGATTTTACGTTCCGAATTGCCACTTTGTACGAGTTCTTTTGTGGCATTAAGTGATAATAAATTTAAACAAATTTTGTAAAAATTAGTTCTTAGATCTCTGTCGCTGTTTTATAAAAACCTTTGCAGAAAGTGGAGCTATAGGCCTTCTTGTATAAGCTCTATGATTCATACAATATAAGTATAATTGTATAACTTTGTTAATTATAATTGACCGAGTATGTTTCATCAAATTATTCAAAATGTAATATTCATGCTTATGAACACAAATGCTCATCTGGCGGGGAGTAATTGCATAAGTACTGCAAAGCACACAAACATTTAGGCTGTAGAGAAGCCTAGTTAAAACAATAATTTCAAAAAATTAACAATTCAAAGAATGTGATATTTATATTTCCCATAGTAATTTTTCAATTTTGAACTTAACTCAAAGGACCTAAACCCATGACATTATTGAGAAAATATTGTTATTGCACAGTACAAATAGTGTAAGAAAAATGGTTGTCTCTGCTAGTGTTTCTTCCACACACGGGTATTATCTTGCTTGTGCATAAATAGCTTCTACATTTCAATTGCATAAAACACAGATTTGTCAAGAAATAAGAGCAGTTTCATGCTTATTTGGAATTACTGTCTGCTTTTTTCTCATAGCACAAATTTTTGAGACTTCTGAATTTGGGATTTTGTAGAAGATCATGTACAGAGATAATTTATATCACACCAAGCTGTTACAGCTCCTTTAGAGTAGGGGTGCACAACCTTTTTGAGCGAAGGGCCACTTGCACAGCAGGTTGACTAACGAAAGGCAGCACATGTATTTAGATATGTTGACAACAAATGTCATAATATTTAAACATTAGTGTTCTAATTTTTTTATCAATAAACTTTGTAATATATTTGTAGAAAATTAAAGGCGTTCAATTATTGGAATTCATTCAAAAAATCTCCATTTTTATCAAAACTAAAAGAGATTTATCAAAATAAATAAACATTGGAGAAAAAAGTGTTTTTTTATGATATCACTCAATACAAAAATTCATTTTAAAAATAAATTATAATAAAAAAAATTGTAATGCTCACAGAATGAAAGTAGAAAAAAATTTAGTACACACATATATATAGTAGCATAGAAAACTGTGATTGTCAATGTTGAAGTTTTGTTTTAGGAACTAAGAACAATTTGTTTTCTGTCTTTCTTTTTAATTAACTTTTTATAGGCATTTTTTTATGACAGCATTTTTTTTAAATAAACGTTGCTAGTAAATTTTATTTTATAGCAATTTTTTTTCTTTCAAAAATATGGCAATGTGAAAAGTTTAAATTGAGATTTTCAGCCTAAGATTTTCATTTAAAAAATTAAGAACATTTTCTGTTTTTTTTTTCTTTCTAGCTTTTTTTTCTATAAAAAAAAATCTTCTCTTTTTATAACGTTTTTATTATAATGCAGCAGTTTTTAAGAGCATTTCTGTTAGACTCATTTCTTTTTTCTTGACTTTTTCTAGTAATTGGAAAACTGAGATGTTCAGCTTTAAAATTTTCATTTAAAAATAAAGACCGATTTTTATTTTCTCTGTTTAGCTTTTGTATATAATCTTTAATTTTTATGATAGCACGGGATTTTCAAAAGCGTTTCCGATAGGCCTTATTCTATAGCGTTGTTTTATAAATATGCTTTTTCAGAAAATATTATTCTGGGCATTGGAATTTTGGCTTCAGTATTGCTATGCTGGTAAAAAATGTTGCTATTTGGCCCCAAATATACGGCATTGGGCCTATTTTTTTTCCCTGCCGAATATCAGTATTTGACAAAATCACATTCATCACTGAAAAATAACTAGGATTCACGATAAAACTGAACCGAAATACCACATAAAAAGGTGATTATTTAAATGTGTGATTAGAAATTTTCAAGTCTTAATAACATCGTGGTTAAATAACGGGATCGTCAAAATCATGTGGAAAAGTATAGTAATATATTTTTAGGAAAAATCATTTAAATTTATGCTGAACAAAGCGTGTCAAATGCGCGATTTAAAACTAACTTATCTTAATAAATTATCGAAATTTCTTATACTACGTGGGATGCTTAGAAATAACTGCCGAAAAAAATGGCTGAAAAAAAAGAAAGATAAAAAGTCACTTAGATTTACGATGAAATCGGCATAAATAAATTGCGCCAAAAAGTGATTATTTAAATGGGCGATCTTAAACTGGCGTGTCGTAACAATATCGTGATAAAAATTAGGGATTTTTGAAAAGTGGAAATAACTGCTTAAATAATCATTTAGATTTAAAATAAACTTGGCTTAAAGAAAGCACATTAAACATACATTTACTATAGAATCTGTAAAAATTGACTCAAAAACACGATTAAAAATGTTCGCCAAATTTTTTTTTGTTGACATTTTTGTTTATTTTTTGTGTTTAGAAACTCTCGCGGGCCGCACTTCAGTAGTCGATGGGCCGCAGGTTGAGCACCCCTACTTTAGAGTGCCTTCACACTACTGTAAAGAATGAACATGTAATTAATGCAAAATATAGCACAGTGATAGCATGTGAAGACAAGGTTATGTTTTTGATTTTCTTTTTGCATATTTTCACAAAATGATTTAAATATTCAAGCTTTTTCTTATTACAAAATATATATTTTTATGCAGTTTACATAGTTGTTAACTTGTACGGCCATCAAGAAAGACTTTTCAAAGTAGTAGAAAAATAAAACTTAAAATATTAAGAATTTTCTAAAACTTAAGCTATTTCAACAACTCTTATATACATAAGTTTGAATTGTTGATCTATCACGGTAGGTAAAAAGAATTAGCTTTTAAGGTAAGATTTTATATATTTAAAAAATAATGCTACTACCACTAAGAAATTTTTTTTCCTTGGCAACTGTAAAAATTGGCACCTATGAGGTCATATTATTTCTATATATTAAATTTCTACCAAAACTGATAACAAATGTGAATAAAAGAACAAAAGTGGGCATTCTATGCCTTACAGAAATATTACTGTATATTTCTAGTAATACTGTAGAAAAATTAATACTCCTATAAAAATGAGTTTGTAAAGAATCAAATAGTGTTCAAAAATATAAAATAGTATAACAAGATAAAACTATTTTACAAGTCCAATATATATATATATATATACTTTTGGAGAAGTAAAAACTCTGAAACAACAATGAATATAAATACAAAATACTTTTCACCAATTACAAGCAGATGTATAAAAACTTTAACTTAGATGTTCAGTTTCAATACTTGACTAGCATCAAGAACTACCTTCCAACTGTCATCTCCACTGGGATATCTGGGCATTTATTTGGGCTAACAATGACTTGCACAAATACATAGCAAACAACTAGAATATAAATTATTTAAAATCAGTTACATACAGAGCCTGACTAAGACATGGGCATATGGGGCAGCCGCCCCGGGCCCTACATCAAAGGGGGCCGCAAATCGAATAGAAAGTTATTTTAGGTTTCCTCCTTTAATGAACTTTTTTAAACAAAATATCAGTACAGTTTTAAAATCCGTCAGTTTTATGTTAGCTTCTTCTTTAATCTATCGTATGAACACAAAAAAATCTATTTTTCGAAAATCCGTGGCTTTCTACTGCTGAATTTAGGTAACTTCAGCAATGACGATGGACAAATTTAGCCAATCAAATGACTGTATTTTTACAAATCGCAAAATGGGATATGTTTACCAAAATACAGGCTTTTGATTGGCTTAATTGAGCCATCGTTAGTGCATAAATTTAGCTGAATTCCGCCCTAATGCAAAATTGAATTTTTGCAGCTAGATGACAAAGTTAACAATTAGAAAACTGCATTCAGCATGATGGACATAGAATGGTCAGAAAATCAATAAAATGAACAGAACGATATTTCATCTGACCATTGGAGGGAGGTGGACTTTATAGCTTTTTTAAGATTTTAGTCAATTGTCTTGCTATCTATAATGAGGTGAAAAATTTAAATACCTCCATAAAGATCGGTTCTTCATTACTGAAGCAGAGGGGGGAACCCCACGAAGTTTCTGCCCTGGACCCCTATTTGGATAAGTTGGGCCCGGGTTACATATTCTAAAATTTTGTAGAATATTTTATTTTGCTTCAATAAAACGAGTTTATATGGCTTATACTTAACCACTCAATATTACAAACAGATATAACTTTTAACTTTAAAAAATAAATAACTATTAGGGGCTAAGAAAAAATCAAGCTCTTGATATATTATTGTCACAATCTTTAAATTAACATTATAAAAATTTGTCAAAAGATAGTGAGATTAAACCTGATAAAAATTTTTGATTATAACCCAGCACTTCATATTTGGACAAGTTTGCATACTAATATTTTTTAATGCACAACCTTTCTCTTAAAATAACAAGGGAGAAAACTACTTTCTTAGCAGGAAGAAACAATAGGTGAAAAGATGACTTAGGCATCCCAAACAACTGATCAGCTAAAGTGCTAAAAGAGTAGTACTAAGTTAATGTCTATGGCACTGCTGTCCTAAGCAAGAGGGCAGTGAAAAGACTACTATACCGGACATAATATATAATATACTGGAGACAATTATGTTGCATTCTAAGAAAGACTGTTTGATCACTGCCTTCTAACTGGGAGTTCTGCCTTTTTCCTAAGGATGGAAGTATACTGGAGGCAAGTTTGTTAAACTGAAAGTATTAATATCCTAAATTTAAATGCCATGCTCCCCCCCCCATACTTAGTTTCACAAGATAAAACAGCTGTCCAGTTCTCTATAACCCATTTGATAAAGCTTAAATCTCTAGCCTTCATTTTTAACTTTTGTTAGATGATGAAGCAGGAGTTACTGGATTAATTTTTGGTGCTGTTTCTTAGACAGACTTCATTTTTTAAACACTTTAATTTGATAAAGTTTAAACAGATGACAAAAACATAAAGTTAAAGCTTGAGTAGAAAATAAGCTTAAAATCACATTTTAGATTATTAATCTCTTTTTTTGAACATTTAAAAAAAAATCAAGCATTAATTAAATAAATATGTTGAAAATAATGTGCAATTCTAAAATAATATAACTAAACATTATTTAAGACATTCTAAGTATTCAGGAACAAAATGAAATCAATCTATTCCCAATTTAGATATGAGGCGGAAAAATAAAGTTAATTTCAGGCAGATAAAAATTTTATATCTTATGGCACATCTAACAAAATAACATTCGTGATCGCAATGCTTGAATAAGCCATCTGTCACAAGACAGGTGACATGTCTTGACCTTCTCCTTTCATCAGTTGTATAGGAATGCACTACAATATTTTCCCCTTTTCGTCTAAAATATATTTTAAAACATCCAAAACGTTTTCCTTTAGAACTATGTTCAATGTAGTTTTCAGTTCCATGTTTCATAATTTAAAAGTTTTTAATCTATTTGAAAATCAAGACAGAAATTAATGTACTCCCTTCTCCTATGACTCTCCACACAGTAATGGTGAAAGCCTTCGAAGTGTTGCCATAGGTAGACAGCTCTGCTCTATACCACCTGAAGCTCATTTTGATTGCCAATAAAAATAGGTGGGCTAAGATAGGTAACTCTCAAAAGTTGCAGAATTGGCCAAAAAAGTTTTATTTAATAGTGAAAATATTTTGTCTAAAAAATAATACCTTTAATCTGCACAAATTGCTGATAAATTCAATATTTTAAAGGAAAAAAAAGTGATAATTTCAAAATTTTTAAAAGTCTATTTTTTAATAACCAGTAGTCAGAAAAACAAGTGGTTACATATTTATTTTTGTAGATAATTACAACTTCAACTTTTTTTCAAATGTGGTGACTGTAACTACTCTTGAAATATAGTCACCACTTTAAAGAGATTTAATTTTGCTGGAGAACTTAATTTAAACCACATTCAAAATGGCTTTAAATAAAAAAAATGGCTAATTTAATTATGAGGATTTATTAAGATATATTTTTTCATGCTTATATGAGCCAGTTAGTTATTTTAAACCATTTTTTATGAGTTGGTTCTTTTCTTCAACTTTAACCTTAACCTATTGCTTCTTTAACCTTATGCCTTTCTAGACAGTAAATAATTAATTCAAGAAATACTAGGGAATTATAAATAATTTTCGATTTTGTATAGTGTTTTATGCTCTAATATTGCTCCAATATTGCTTCATCATAGATTCGCTAATCAGGTTCTAAAATTAATTGTGTTACAACCTTGTTTCGTTATTAAATTAAGGTAAAAAGTAGTTGCCCGGTATCGTTACAAACTACTTTTTTTTTGCATTGCAGTACTCACTACACTTCTTTAAAAAGAAGCGTACTACACTACTAACTATGAGAGAAGTACAGTAATTATGAAACTTGTAGTGTGCTACTTCTGACCCCTGTTAATAAAAATAGATGAAGTTCACATAGTGGAGAAAAATATAACTGTTACTAAATGTATCAAGCATTAGAAACTCATAAAACAACTTTGTTAGTCAAATGCACACATTTTTTTACTATAAACCAGAAAACAGTAATTATACACAAGCAACTAAAAAATTAAACGTAGAATAATTATCTAAGTGTAAGAATAACTAGTGTACATAATACGCATAATATAGGCTTTGGGGTAAACATTGATATTTAAGTTTTTTTTTTCTTTCTCCATAGTAACCTTTAATTTTTACAGTAATTGACTGAAGGCTAGGGGTCAAAATGGGTGGAAGTTTAAGTGTAGTTAACTAGTCAAGAGAGGTATCTCTTTCCATGCATTATTTTAATGTCGTCAAGGTTTAAATTGAGATGGTAGGAACTGATCTAAATCAAGTCATATAAAAAAAAATAACACAGTTAACTTGTACATAGTTAATCATAAAAATAACACTTTTTTACCTGTATCAATGACACAACAAGAAAGATTCCTGCTACAAGATGAAGATTGTGAACTATATAATCTTGAATGGCTTCTATACAGCCTCTGGCAAAGATAAATTCTGCCGCATTTGTTACCGACTGCAATTGTAAAAGAAAAACGTCAACAGTCAATGAAGTTCAATAACACAAAATTAATACACTTAATAATTGAAAATATCTCTTTTTTGTCTTATAACATTCATATATTTCTGCACAAAAATCTTACTGAAAACATAGGGGTAAAAAATATTTTTACTCCTTAAATAGATAATCTATCTTTTACAATATTTATTTTATCTTTCATAATTTTCTTTTATTTAATTTATACCGATATTTTTTCAATGGGTAATTGAAAACATGCTTTAATACAGAGGTCGCCAAAATGGTCTATATAGACCCCCAAGGGTCTATTTAACAAAAGGGGGGTCAATCTGAGACAAGGGTTTGAAGAAAAAAACAGTTTTTAATACGCAAATCACTTATAACTAATTGAGTATGTAAAATTTGTGAATTTTTTTTATTATTGACTTAATATCAGTTTCTTTATAGAACATAAATTAATAAACGTATATTTATTCGGGTGAAACGAGTATTTACGTACCAGCGCACTTCTGGTTTATAAGTCAATGTGCGCTTGTCCAAATGTCACGTGTGAGGAGCATTGACGTTAAAAATGCAAATATCATACGCAGTTTCAGCTATCTTTGCAAACTGTGTTGAATATTTGCAGTGTCATTATTAAAACTTTTGGATAAAACCATTCATTAAGTTTAGATATCAATTTTAATTATCAATACACGTAAAAAAGAAGGTAAGCATTAATAATATGGATTAGTACAGCCTGCGACAAAACTATAGCACACTTTGTATTTTTTTACGAAAATTAAAATTTTTTTGAAAATATTACGTAAATTCAACCTTAACTAAGTACAGAAATAAATTAAATCTGGAGTTATCAGGGGATTTAAGATTAAAATTGACCAATTTTGAACCCAATATAGCGAACCTTGCAAAAAAACACCAGGCACACCCATCTCATTGATTAAGAAGCAATAAATCTGTAGTTACTTTACTTGTTATTTCTACTTATTTATAATTACTTATTATTTAATAAATATTAAGGTATTTAAATTTCAACATTAATATATTTTTCATAAAACTATTGTTACACAATGTACTATTACTTTAATAAATGTTTAAAATCATAAAATAAATGTATAAACACAGTATCTTATAGAGTTTTATTTTAATTAACAGAAAATTACTTTTACGGGGGCAATGGAGATTTCAAAAAATTACAATGGGGTCAATGATCAAAAAAGTCTGGCGACTCATGCTTTAATATGTAGTTTTCAATGAAAAAATAATTAAGGAAACTATGTTTTTGAGTATTGATGTACCATCTCAATGGTTATGACTCATTACTAATACTGTAACTTAGATAAGTCTGCCATGGAGCAACTTACGGTATTTTTCGGCGAAAGCGCCGCACCCCGATAAAAATGAAATTTTTAAAAAAAAAGTTATAGCAAGCGCCGCAATGGCGCTAAACCGCGCATATCAGCATCCTTTTAGAAGAGACCTTTAAATTACCATTTAGAATATCTGTATAATAAAAAATTACATTTTTTTATGCATTTCATAAAGTAAAGTTTTAATTTCTAAATTATAATAAAAAATTTCTTTTTCAGCAAAAAAAAAAGCAACAAAAAAAGTTTTCTCTTTCAGCAAAAAAAAAGAAAAGAAAACAACAAAACTATATAAAATAAAGTTGTTCTTACTAGTTGGCACCGCGCCAAAAAACAGAAGAACAGCAAAAAAATATTTATATGTTCAGTAGCTGAATTAAGGCTGAACTGATTACAGGAATCCGTAAAACAATGCAATAAGAAAAATAAAATAAAAATTTATTAAAAGAAAGATTTTAAAATAAAAAGATTTTAAAATTTATTACCGTTAACAATTTGAGGAAAAACTAATACATAATAACGAAACAGCTAATAATAACGAAATAACTAATAATAACAAGAATAAGAAATAACTAAACAGGCCCCAAAAAAATTCTGAAGAAATTAGCGAACGGGAAATAAGTTTCACTTTCACAATCTTTGAGGGTGGAATTTTAGTGGGTAGAATGCCCTCTCCTTCAATGGAAATAACCCAATGTGACTCAATATTTAAAAGGGGTTGGGGAAAAGAACAGGGTATGGGACCCCTAATCCAGCATTCCAAAATTTGGCACTTAATCTGATCTAATCTTTTTTTTTTAATTTTTTTTTTTAAGAAATTTATATTGATAAGACAAAAAAAATCAGCTATATTCTTTTTATTTGGAATTTTATTCTGTTGAAGTAACTTACTTTATTTTATCTTTTAAAAATAAAAAAGCTTGAAAAAAAAATTATAAATCTGTGTCAAAAGAAACATCTGTTTCTTAAGCAGTTTAAAATAAAGTGAGAAGTAAAAACACTTGCATTTCCAATGAACAAAATAAAGAAATGGAAGTTGGAAAAAACTGATCAATCAATCTTGACAGCTGTGCTTGTGCTTTACTGATTTGCTCCCAAATTTCCCTCCTCTGTTTGACTATAAATTGGCCACACCCAGTTGACATTGAAACTACCACGTGGACAACAAAATTAATTCTATCCCTTTTGCGGTTTTTTATTCGATTCATTAATTATTTTTATTTTGCCGCTTTTTATTTTTTCTTGTTAATTGTTGCTTGTTTTTTTTTTTTATCGTTACTGGTTTTTATCTTGTTTTTTGTTGTTATTCATTGTTAGTTTCTTAGCATTAATTGTTAAATTTTTTTTTGTATTTCCCTGTTAGCTTTATTTTTCTTGCGAGGTAAGCGTCTTTTGTTAAAACAAAATGTTATCTAAAAGAAAAAACGAGAACTTTAGCTTATATTAGTTTTTAGCTTATATTAATTGTTAAAAAAAATTATTTTTTGAACTTCCCTGTTAGTTTTTTTTCTTTTTCTTGCAGTAAGCGTCTTTTGTTAAAACAAAATGTTATCTAAAAGAAAAAACTAGAACTAGGATCTTGCTCCAAAGAAGAAACGATTATTTGTTCTTCATAGGATTCTGTTTATTTCTTCTTGATTATATTATATAGATTATTATTTTGATTAGTAAAATTTCTCTTAAGATGTGCCAGTGTTAAATTCACCCCATCATAATCTACGATCGAAACTTGACTAAATTTATTGGTTTTTCTGAAATTAACAGTGGAATTGAATTATAGTAATATTTGGGGGCCATATTGGAATTTCCAAAAGAGATCCGAAGTTCGGCATTTCGTCAGTCCCGTGAGTGTCGTATTTAGGGTCCTTTTCTTCCTTTTCTGTTCGCTCAAATTACAATTGCCAAGGCGCTAAATAGATTTCTAGCTTGCGATTTTTCCTTAAGCTGGGGGTGGATACAAGATGCATACCTTTTAAATTTTCTCCTTATGCGATGTTTTTTTTAAAATTATTATTTCGTTTATTTATTTTCTTACTGGCTGCTGCCGAAAGTTTGCTAAGAATTGCCGATGTTCTGCAGCAGATCGCGATACGGGCGAATATTTCGTCGACTTCGTTATTAATTTTTTTTAATAGTTTTTCTCTCAAAAAATTAATAAAACTTTCATTGACAAATTTTTTTGCTACTAAAAAATATTTCGTCGGAAACGCCGCTGCATCGGAAGCTCCGCATGTAGGAAAAAAACATCTTTTTTTCGATAGCGCCGCGGCTCTTCCGCCGAAAAATATGGTAGTTTCATTAAATGCTAATGAGGGGCATGCCATAAACATACTTTACACAGTTAAGCATCACAAATATATAATAAAAAAACACACTAAATTAAAAAAAAAAAAACTGAAGGAAAAAAATTTAGAAATACTAAGGACAATAGTATATGGAATGTAGACTCACATCATTTATTACAGAATTTAGAGTACTTTTAAAATATAAATTTCGTAAAATTAGAGATATATGTAAAAAAAAAAAAAAAAAAACTCAGAGCTAAAATTAAATTGTTACATTCTTAGATTAGATTAAATTTGAAAATATAATACAACAAAGAAAATTAAATGTATTCTGTTTCATACAAAGCAACTAACACTAACTCGAAAAATGGATTTTTTAAAAACTATGCATCAAATTCAAAAAAGGTTAAGTGTAGGGCACATATAGAACATTCAGGGCTTACACATAGATACATAGGTTGAATTTTTAAAGGCTAGGAGGTTTACTAGTTTGAAAAGTTAAGTTTAACAAGAAAGTGCCAAAATAGGCTATATTGTGCTAAATTGAAATGAAAGCACATACTTAAAAAGCAAACAATAGTGTTAACAGTCTGATAAAACTCTCGAAGTTTTAAAATTTATTTTTAAGATGCCTAACTTTGAATTTATACAAGAAAAATAATTATTTAATATTATGAGGAAAAGGGAAAACTTTTAACAAGTGCCAAGTTTTCTGTACCTCCTCATTTTAGCATTTTCAAATCAAAACGAACTTTTTAATTTACTAACCTACTACTTTTAAATTTTAGTGAAAATTGCAGCTAAAAATTTACACACGTTGAAGTAAAGATATATTCCAGATAAAAGGTAATGTCTTATTGCATCTTTTAACAACATTGGTTTTTACATCTTTATTTTAGCTTTCATTTGTAGTTACTTGGTACTTCAACACTCTACCAGACCAAGTAGGTAACAGCTAAGTGGATTCAGAATCTTTCCAAAATAAGGTCACAAAGCTTTTAGCAATCTACTGTTAAACTTAAGATCAATAAAGGCAAAATTATTATGACAATTCATAATGTCTCAGATGTGGAAACAATTTTTATAGACTTGCCGGTTAATTCCCTCCTTTGCACATAAAAAAAAATGAAAAATACTTGGCAGAGAATACATGTTTTGGAGCAAGTAAATTTAGTTTTGGGGCCAGATTGGAGCAAATAATTTTTTATATTTGGAGCGGCATAGGGCTTGCAAAATGACATTTTCGAGCAGATTTAAGCACATAAATTTACATTTTATATCATAGCAGCTGAATATATTTTCATCTTAATAAAAATCAATGAAACAGTGATGAACAACACTACAAAAATATGCAGAAAACTATAAGGCATAGACCGACATAATTAATAAATAATTCTAGTTATTTATTATTATGCCCTTCGCGGTTTATTTACGTTAAAAGATTATGCAAAACATGTTTTTTTTAAGTTTGTCTCATAAAAACAAATATTAACTTTATTTAGTATTACTTGGCATGATGTTGAAATTTACCGCTATCAAGTAATTTTCACTGGGTCATAATTTAAGGCAACTATTTCTGCAGTATCTATGTAATAGCTGCTTAGTACTGTTGCAGTTTTAATAATTACCAAATATACCAATATAATACTTTATATCAATATTTTGAATCAATTTTATATTTTATTTGCTACTTATTACATACACTCAAAAATTAGAGTTTTGCGTGAAATGCATTAATCAGTTGTAGCAAACTAAAGCCGAAATTTTAAAAAATAGAATAGAATAAGACTTTTATTGTGACCTTAGAGCATTACTATTTCTCTATCTGACTTTTAATATACTGTTTAAATTTAAAATAATGGTGAAAAAAAGTTCTTTTCATTTAAATTCATAAAATACATTATCTTTGCTACCACAGGAAAAAAGATTTTTGAAACAACAGAAATTAAAACTGTACCAATTACCATAATACCAGTAGTGTATATCATCAAAATTAAAATGCCACTAGCGTCATTAGTAGCATAGCCATTTTTTATGGTTTTCCTAAATTAATAAATGTCTTTCCTTTATTAATCTTGTTTTTTAGAACATAGCTTATTATTTTATTTAAATTTACACATATTACAAAAATTAATTAAGCATCATTGGTATCAATAATAGTATACAAATTTTTTACATTTCTCTAAAGAGCAATCTAGTACCTCTTTTCCATTAATTTTGCTTTTCAATACATAGCTATTTTTTTCACAAATCAATTACAATTTATATTAAATTATTTAGTTTTATAGTTTTAGTTTTATCGTCTCTTTTTAAGAGAATTACTAAAACAAAATAAACATGTGGTGTCAGATAATTTCAGGAATACTAATTTGGTGACAGAATCCGCCATTGCAACCACGTTAAAGTTGATATTTAAATTTATCTGATACAGTGAATAAAAAAATTAAATTACATGTAATAAATTCCTTTTGATCAATAGAGCTATTTGTGACATTGCTTTCTAAATCCACGCTGTTTTGCTAGCATTATTTTTTACCCTTTAAACATATTTTTCCAATTGCAATATTTTTAAAATGATGTGATAACTGATTTTTACACAAAAAATGGGTAAAGAAGCACTTTTCGCTCAAGAATATTATTAAAGATTTGGAGCAGCTTGGCACAATTTTGGAAAAAATAAAAATTTTATTTTAGAGCAGAAGTTTTCTTTTGGAGCAATTTATGCAGCTGTTCCCATTTAAATAGAGACACACCCTAAACCAGACTCAACTTAGAACTGCCAAATCACAGTGAGGAGAAGTTAAAGGATCAAGGTAAAAGTCAGTGTTTCTAAGCAAAACAATAAAACATGATCCATTCATGGTATACCTACATTGGGTGCCTAAGCATATGGGTGTACCTGATAATGAGCTGGCTGATGAATTAGCAAAGGCTGGCCCCAAACCAGCTTTGGGAATTTCTCCCACATCCTTCAAGGCTTCCATTTTCAAGCTCCGTGGCAAGATTGTCTATGAGCAATGGCACAACTAACCATTTCAATCCAATCGGTGCAATCGTGACTGCCCTGGTGTGCCTCAAAAAGAGCTTCTCATGCTTAACAAAAATAGTTTGATGAAGATCATCAGTCTTTTCACTAGTTACTGTACCCTCCGGAGACACCGCTACATCATAGGTTTTGCATCTGATCCTCTTTGTCGTGGGTGTCATCTTGAAGAAGAAACTACACGACAAATTCTTTATAATTGGGAGGTCTTTTTCTACTCTAAGATTTGAGCATCTGGCCAACACTGCCTTAAGGCCTCGGAACTACAGGTCATTTCTGTCATGTATTAGCTGAACTTTGTTTCAGTTATAACTCTTTTCTGCTAATCACGATCCAGGGTTTGGGTACAATAGACCCCTAGTCGATGTGCCTTGCTCCTCACAGCTGGTTCTCTCTAAGTCTAATCTATTTATACAATTATTCAAACAAGCTTATTATAATATTTCTACACTTTAATATTCTTAGATTGTTTACTATTTTGGTGGCCATGCACATAGGAAATCACATTTTAAGCTGATTTCGTTTTCCCGAAACAAAACCAGTTTTCTGATGTCCTTAAATTGGGAAACAATGAGGGAAGCTTATTCTACAAATTTTTTTTATCTGTGTGACCGCCAGAAGAATAGCAAATCAAACTGTTAGGAAACAAAATTATTTATGAGTAATGATTACATTACAAAAATGAAAACAAAAAATTTCATGTAGCAGAAAAAGGAAAATTCATTTTATTATTTAAATAAGATGATGAAATAACACTTACAGAAGCATTCTGCATTTGATAACCACACATTATATTTATCAAGCCACTCTGTAATATATTATAATATATTAGTTTATAGTATGTCAAATTTCTTGCACACATCACTTTAAGAAATAATTTAATATGCAACAAAAGACTAAATTTTGAAAAAATTAGAAGATAAATGTTTTAAAAGCGCTCAAGAATTATTTATCTTTTTGGACATATATTATATAAAATATTTATGTTTAATGAAAGTATAGGATTCATTGCTATCACCTTTAAGGTAAGTCCTATACCCATAATGTTAAAAATGATTGAACTGTTTCACAGATTAAATAGCGTACTAAGAGTCTCAAAATGTTTCACAACATTCAAGAATCGTGTCAGCCATAACCTAAAAGGATTATTTTTTCAAAATTAGTTTTTAAATTTTTTTTTAAAAGCATAGAAAGAATTTGTTGCATGTGATTTTGTAGTTCTTTTTCCCCTTTCTTTTTTGGAAATTAGATGGCGTTGTAATGCTACAAAAAGTGTGTTTTCACCATTTGTGAGAACAAGTTGCTAAAAAAGCATAAAATACCAATTTATATTTTCATTAATAGTAGATTCTTCTTGTTTTAGCTATTAGCATAGATTATTAGCTTTCTTCCAAAAGCAATTCTAAAACATTTTGATCCATATTTAATTTGTGAAACTGTTCTGGAGAAAAGTCACTCTGTTATAATTTTACCAACATAAAAAATCTAAATATTCAGTTTTTTCTGTGGTTCACAAAAGCGCTTGAAATAGAGTTATTCAGGATTTAGGGACTAGCATCACAGTTCATATGTTTACATTGATAATGCGATATTTCCATTTAAATTTGTTTTATTATATTTAAATTCGAGGTAAACATAAAGGGCAACCAAACTAAAAGTGTTGCGAAGTCAGAAGTAAAATTACAAAGGTGCTAAATCATGGCATTTCTACTCTTAAACGTGCTGAAACTTCAGAGACTAAGAATAATTTAATTTTTATTCATTCTGATGTGACACCTGGCAAATGTTCTAGTTGGTTTTACAATCATTTATGTGCACATTACCGAAACATTTCTATCAAAATAGTTATATTTTCTAAAAGAATGAATGCGAAATATTTATTTGATCAAAAAAAATCTAATTATGAAAGTGTTAATTTACTTTTTGTATATTTCTCAAAAGGATTTTAAATTTTGCAAGCATTATTTTTTCTTCCTCTTCAGAATTCTGAGGTATGGGGACCATAATTTTATATACACCACGCCCTCAAAAATCAGCAGAAAGAAAAATCTTTTCACTGGATACGCCACATCATCGTATAAGCCGCACCAAATTTTACTATACTAAAGCAGGTATTGATACTAATGCAGGTATTCATTAGAGACTTAACACATGCTCTAAATAAGCATATATATATATATATATATATATATTTCGAACACAACAAAAAAGTAGACACAGACAAAAAATTAGTTGATAGTTGTTAAAAAGTAGTCAAAAACATAGTCATCAAAATAATATGTGACGTGTGAAGTCAAAAAATAGTCATTAGAAATGTGTGTTTAGTTACTTTAAATGTT